TATCTAAAGATATAGACAATAAACATTGGGATGATGATGATAATGAAGAATCTTCTAATCAAGGTAGTGGAGGAGTGGGTATTTCAATAAGGTATTCATTTTAATTTTTTAGTAATATAATAATTTATAATTTTATAATTTTAATAATATAATTTATTGATATTAAATATTAAATAATATTATTTAATATAGTAATTATAATTTATTTATTATTTAAAAAACAAAATTTGAAAATTTGTTATTATTTGTTATTTAGGTATAATGTATATGACTCTCCCCTTAGTCCAATTCAAGAAGAAAGAGAAAGTACTCTTACTTCTGAATCATTAATATCAAATTCTAGAGATACATCAATTGCTTCAAAAGAATCTGTTGCTTCAGATGATGTATTACTAGTTGATACTCGAACAAATAAAATGATTTTATTAGAAGGATTAGGAGAAAAACTGCAAGATGATGAACGAGATACAACTAATGGAGATTTGTCTGAGGAAGAAAATTTAGATTATAATTGTTCGATAATTCGTTCTCGTGATGATAAATCGCATATTATAATTGCAAGTTGTGGAGCACCTTTACCAAGTCCAGAGGAGGAATCTAAATGGCAACAATTACCGCCATCTTTTCCATTACCATTACCTTTGGAAGATGATTTAATGTCAACAAGTTTTGGAACAGATCATGGATGGGGCAGTCAGGATGAAGATGAAGAAGAAGAAGAGGAAGAAGAGGAAGAAGAAGAGGATGAAAATAATAGTTCTAGTTCTGGAGAATTTGTTTGGAAAGTAAATACATTATAAATAAAAAATTAAATTTATTAATAAAAATTTATTATTTATTATTAGGAATTTATTTTTCATAATTAATTTTATGTTATTAATTAGAATCATTTTATACATAGAGATACAATGAACCACATATGGAACAAATTCAAACTCGAAGTTATTTAAATAATAATGAAGGGGTAATATTAGATGCTGATGTTGAAGATGAAATAGATCTTGAGGAAGAAGGAGAGGATGAAGAGGAAGAAGAAGAATTTACACCATCAGCTTGGAATGCAACATTAGCGCCTCATCGTTCTGCATTAAGATCTCCAGATAAAACATTAAAATCTGGTGTAAGTTTTATAATAGTTATATTTTCACATTTTTTTTAAATATAATAATTTATAGTTTTTTTTATTTATTTTTGCTGTCAGGATGAATCGGTGGGTATATTCTTATTTAGCAATATTCTTTATGTACATTATATATTACTACACTTAAATAAATTTTGTGCAATTGTTAATTTTTTCAGGATCAAAAAAAAAGCGTGTGGTTTAAAAAGCAACGTTATCATTGTGTATATGAATATCCTAAAGAAACTCTAGCTACAGAAACTCAAGGAGAATCAACTACTACTTGGGAATCTACTTCATATAGTGGTAAATTTATTTTTTTCTTTAAAAACATTATAAAAATTATATTAAAATTGATTTATTTTATATATATATATATATATATATGTAATTTTTGTTTTGTTTAGATTGGGAGGAAATGATAGATGAACCACGTTTAGATTTGTATCCTCTTGATTATGATGATGCCCATCATTCTGGTATGTTTTAATAATATATAGGATTTTGTATATAGAATATTAAAAATATATTAAAAATATATTAATAATATTCATGGAATATTATTGAAAAATCGATTCTAGAGTCCAAAACAAACATAAAAGTTATTTATATAAATAATTTATACAAAAATATCAGTTATTAAATTATAATAAATAAGCAATTTAAGTTCGTATTTCTTTTATTTAAACTTAATAATATTTATTTAAATAGATTACCTATAATTTAATATAATTTAATAATAAAAATTTATATACATTAACTTTTCCGTTTTGATTTGGAATTCGATATTTTCAAAAATATCGAATATATATATATTTATAATATATAATATGTATATATTTATATTATAAATATATATTATATTTATACATTAACTTTTCCGTTTGATTTGGAATTAATTTTCAAAAATATCGAATATATATATATTTATAATATATAATATGTATATATTTATATTATAAATATAATATATATTTATAATATATAATATGTATATATTTATATTATAAATATAATATATATTTATAATATATAATAAAATTTATATATATTTTATAAATAATTATAATATATTTATAATATATATATTTTTATATAATTATATTAAATGATAATTATATTGCATATATGAAATATATTTTAAATATATATATATAAATATAAAACAAAGGAAAAAAATTCATATATTCTTTAAAAAAAAGGAATAATTTTTTAAATTGAATTAAATGATTTGAATTTTTTTGAAATATTAAAAAGAAAAAATGTTGTTATAAATGCAAATAATTAAAAATATTCAAATATTCAATTTTTTTATTTTTGAACAATTTTTGTAATAAATCTTTATATCTTTCAATTTTATACTTACAATTTTTTTATGTGTCAATTAATTTTAATAAACTTTATATATAATATAATTATATTATACATATGTGCATATGTAATTTATTTGGATCTACAAAAACACATTTTTTTACAAGCATATTTCAAATTTTCATTATAGACTCGTACAACAAAAATTAAAAATCATGACAACTTTTTTTTTATAATAATAAATTTCGATAATGCTAATAATTTTTTTATACATTATTTACTAAATTTAAGTTTAATCTTAATATTTCTTAAAAATTCAAATCTGTTCTAATTTTAAGAAAGTTATTCTGTTTTAAAAAATATAAGAATACTTTTTTCCTTTACTATATATTTTTACTGCATATTTTTGAAAAATTTATTATTATTTTCTACTTATATCATCAAGTTTATTATATGAATATTATATATTTTATTTATAGGAAATGAAGAATTTTTTGTAAGCAGTTCAAATCGTCCATTTCAATTTCAAACTAGTGAGAGTAAATATGTAAGTCAATTTTTTCCTGGTGCATCTACATCAATGAATGAAGAACAAGATGAAGATGATGATCAACAAGGAATACCACAAAATGGAATAGAATTGTTAAATGATTGTAGTCAAAATCAACAATATCAATTAGGAGAATTAAGACATACTAGAGATCGTTTGAAATTGAATTTATCTACAACTGGTGCATCTTTTGTTTCTACTAAACAAACGAAAGAAGATGATGTAAAACAATTGCATGATAGAGAAAACATGTCAGAATTCTCGCAAAATATAAACTTACCAGAGGACCAACATATGCTATCAAATTGTTTAAATTACAATATGTTACCAACGGTGCCTCCCAAAGACATTGAAGAAAAAAAAAATTTAATTCGACTTCTTCAAAAAGTGCCCAATGTGATACTCAAGAAAAGATTGAATCTATTGACAAGTGTAGTGTTTTAACTCATGACTAACGCATTTCGAGGACGTTAATAAAATGTTAAAAATATAATTTAGCTGAAGTCCGTCCGAACTAATTTTGTTGCAAAAGTACAGTGATTATTCAACGAATTCACTATTAAATGAATCTCGAATTATTGTACATAATGTGTAACAAATTTTTATTGTGGCTAAAATGTAATCGATTGTCTTATAGTGTTATATTTTGATTTATTGTATAGAAATATTAATATAAGTAGAGCTTAATATTGATAATTAATTTTTTATATGATCAGCTTCATGATGATAAAAAAATATAAAAGAAGACAATCGATTTTTAAAAGCTACAACTATTGAATAATTTCGTTTCATATTGTAAATATTTATTAAACTCATTCAGTACATAATTGTTATCAGAAAATTAAAATTGTAAGTTATTAATGTTATTATTTTCATTGATATATTATTATTATATTAATTTTAAACTATTGTTATTTTTAAATAACGGTATATTTTTTTGATATATTTCTATTAATATATTAATAGAAAACAGCTCTCTATTTTAAAGTATTATAATGTCAATCAAGGGACGGTACTATAATTAAGTCTTAATTTTTAGTAAAAAAGTGTATAATAATTAATGCACGAATAATTTGTTATAAATATCTATTATATTGTTACTTTTACTAGAACTGTGATGGGCACAATTTGTGCATTTTTATTTCAATTAATTTAATGAATCAAATTAGTAAAATTACAAATTTCATGTAAGTAGCAAAAAAAATGTTGCCGTACTTCCATTGCATTCTATTTCCAATAAATTTAAATGTTCTTGAATGATTTTTCACATATAATTTGTCTTTAATTGTTAATATTCAAATAATTTTTTATGAAATAATATTCTATGAAATGTAAATGCACAAAAAAATTATTTATTATAAAAATATGACAACTATTAAATTTACAATATTTATTTGAATATAAAACGAAAAAAATAATAATATATTAATAATTATAATTTTTACGAAATTTTCAATATAATTATAACAAAATATAACGGCAGAATAGATTAGATTAATATAAAAAAAAAATATTTAAAAATATAAATAACATCAACATATTGATATTTGCATTGATATATAATTTCATTAATATATGTGGAATCATACATTATACTATTAATAACACTGCATTTATTGTGCAGTTTTACTACTATTATAATTATTATTATCATTATTGATAATGCTAATTCTGTGCTCATAATAGTATATTATAGAGAACAATTAATATATTGTTATACAAAGCAAACATTGATTTAAAAATATGTGTTTCATTGTTTTTATTCCTATTCCATTATGACACATTACATAGGAAATATTTTAATTTTATATATTTCAACTTTATTAATTTTAGTTTATTTTAGTAGAAAATGATAAAAATTTGATATATTGAATAAAATTCAGATAAAATAATTAATTTTCTCAAGTTTTAATATAGATAAAGAAAATTTAAAATTTTATTATAAATATTTTACTTAATAATTATATTAATAATTATTTTTATAAAATATTTGTATAATATTATTTTATGTTTGTATATTATTAAAAATTTATATATGACGTTGACGATTACGCCATAAAATAATAAGTCCTTGATAATCTGCAGAAGCAAGAAGAGATTCATCAAAATTAAAGGATAAAGCAATTGTAGGTGTTGCATGACCTTGAAGTCGATTAATTTTCGCTGCTTTGCCCTTTCTTGCTGAATCTAAGAGATGTATTGTACCATCCTCAGAACCAGTAGCTATTAAACATGTTTCCATTTGTGGGCAAAATGTTGATTTCACAAAATATTGTCTATAAAAAATTTATAAATTATATTTTGTTATAATTTTAAAAAATGAAATGTTTATAGTAATATTTAAATTATAAATTACTTATGTTTTATGGGATATTTTGTCCACAAAGATAGAGAACCTTGATTATCAATAATATGATATAACAATACTATATTACAAGCACTGCTCACTAAAAGTGCTGGCCATGGAGCATCTTTTGAAAGCCATGAACGCCAAGAAAGACTACTTATCATTCCACCAATTTCTTGTACTCTTTTTAATTTTGTTAATCGACCTGATCCTGGTTCTAATTGAAATGACATGATAATTCCTCTATCATTTCCAACCCATATTACTGAACCACCACTACCTTCACAAGTTAATGATAGAATCTAAAACAAATGTTTTTCTTTTTATTTATTTAATTAAATGTTTATTTTTAGATACAAAAATTATTTATTAATTAAAAATTAATTAATGAATTCTTTAAATCATTTTTAAAATCATTGAATAATACAAAATTATTGATATCAAATGCATTTTATTATATAGATCATTTATTTTTGACAAATTTTATAAGATAAGAGAATAATATTTATTTTATATATTTTTAAAAGATTTAAAAACTTAAAAAATTTCGCAAAATTTAATAAATAAAAGACTATTTAGAAAAGAAGTATTTTATTAGAAATATATTAAAATTTTAAAATTACTTTGAAATCTAATTTTATAGTTTGATATTTTATTTTTATTATTCTTATTACATATATATGATATCTGAATTTAAATGTCAAAACTCAAGAGCATATAGGATAAATTATTAAAAAATATTCTTTAAATATTTATTGTTTTCTATTCTGGAAAAATAAGAAAAGAAATAAAACTTTCCATTTTTCTATTTACTTATTGATATTTATATATCTAATATTGATATTTCTATTTATTATATTGTTCAAAATGACCTTTTCTGGTAATACAAGTGATAATATTAATTGTAAATGTAAATAAAACTGTTAAATATTACTCTGATGTAATCTGATATATTACAGCTACAATTTCATTTTTTAATCTCTTGAATTAATTGACATTGAATAAATTTTTTCTTTTAAAGTTCCTTACATGAAAAAAAATCTATGGATATAATGTCTGCTAAATGATTATATATTTATAAAATATCTCTCCAATCCATTATTATGAATAATTTCTGTTCAACTAGACTTGAACAATTTTGCCAAAATAAATTGATCAATCATCCAATTAAAACCACATTTTAGATTATACAATGACAAAAATAAGATGAAATTTTCATCTGAACTTATGAAATAAAATTATAAATAGAAATACCATGAATGCATAAATAATAATAGAAAAATGGAGAAAAAAGTAGAGTTTATTTTTTTTTTACGATTTTCTTTAAAATAAACAAATTTCTAAAGCAATTTCTTTTTTTTACTTTATCAATCCCTTATATCAAAATTTTGATATTTAAATTTAAAACACTAGATTATATATTATTAAAAATTAAAAAACTAACTTTTCCACCAATTTTGTAAGAACCATTATATATACCAGTAGATATATTTAAAATTTGTACAAATCCCTGAGAATTGCCAGCAATAACTAAATTATTATTTATAGGTATAAATCCACAACACAAAACTTCTGCTTGCTGTTGATCATTAACAACTCTTAAACAAGTTGGATTGTTTTCTGTATCCAAAACATTCCAAAGTCTTATTGTGGCATCCAAAGAACATGAAACTATAAGATCATTACTGATACTCCAATCTAATGAAGTAACACCTTTTTTATGACCTTCCAATAAGGCTATTACTTTTGGAGGAATACTAATAACATCACATATAGATAGTAATCCATCTAATGATGCACAACATAGCTTTGATCTATCATTATTTGCAAATTTAAGCATCATTACTGGTGCATTGTGTTGATCAAAAACATGATGCACTCCATCAAATGCAAAACTTTCTGCAATCGATTTTCGTTGTATGTTATAAAGTTTTGTTTTAATTTCTGATCTTTCTTCTTCTGTTGTATAATTATTAAAACTATTTTGTTCTAAATTTTCGCCATAACGTAGAAATAACAATCTTGCTCTCAATCTAAAATAATTTTCTCTAATTTTTGAATTTTTACTGAATTTTTCCTTTAATAATTGATTTCTGCGGCGAATATAAAGCATTCCTGTAATTATATTATTTTTTAAATTTATATATTGAATTGTATCACGAAACATATATGTACAAACCTAAAGTGGGTAATTTGTTTACACGTTGTGCATTGTATTTAGCATCAAGAGCAAAAACTTGTTGATGCCACATAGTAACCATTTTATATGTATTTTATAGAAGAGAAGAATTGTAAAAACTCAATATCAAGTATTAATTAATTTATTAAAAAGAAAATTTTATTTGTTAAGATTTAACGTTACATAAACATTGATATCTAACCTATTAAATAATCTTTGATCTGTAAAAAATTTAAAGATACAAATGTTAAAAAATATTTGTATCACTTATTCTTTTTTAGATTATTATCTTTTTCTTGATTTATAACTTAAAAACACACATTATATTGATTTTATTCTATTAACATATTTTAAGAAAATTTTATTAATTAATAAGTTTTCACTTATGATATAATAAATTGATACTTAACATTGATATTTAACATTTTTTAAAAATATAATATATTAAAAATATAAAATAATATAAAAAATATAATATATTTAAATTGATTTACTTTCATTCACTTTCATTTTTGATTGCTATATGAGTATATTTATATACTACATATATAATTTTGTTATTTATATATGTATAAAACATTTGTATAAATGTATATAAATTAATTTATATTAAATTTTATATTAAATTCTGAATTCTGTTTCAAAATCAAAATATTATTTTTTTTATGTATTTTTATAAATAAAAATAAATAAATATATAATATAAACTATTATTTATTTTGCAATTAAAATTTTAAAATTCATTTTTATTTATGTTTCTTAATAAGTAAATAATAAAATAAGTTAAATAATTTAAATTTGTTAATTTTGATTTGTAAAAAATATAATAATGTAATAATTTATTATAATTTGTATATATTAATTAAATTTTATAATTAATATTAAAAATTTTAAATCTCATTAACTAAAAAAATTAATTATTTTATAATCAATTCTGCAAAATTTCAAACTTTCAAAATTACTTATGTAAGTAATTAAAGAATTTAAAAAATTCTTCATAATGTAATTTTAAAAATCTTTAAAATTATACTATAAAATTAAAATATTTTACACATTTATATTGTATAAATATTACAGAGTTCCTTTTAATATATTTATTTTTAGATATTCATATTTATACACAGTAGTAGCTATTTTTTTATTAATTATAGCATTAATTGTGCGATGTATTTTATATTTTCATTTTGTAAGTTATTATTTAATAAAAACAAAAGATATTATCACTTAGTTAGTAATTGTCATAAGGAACTGCTTTATTTAAACTTTTAAATATATTCATATTTTTTCATTTTCTGATATATTTTGAATTTTCTTCTATTTTCCTATTATATATTACATTTGATGTATTTGATAAACTTATAAAGTGAAAATGTTCAAAAATATATATACAAAAAAAATATATATTTGTATTGACTTTTTTGATTAGTAATCTTTGAAATGATTATTTATTTACTTAAATATACTTATTTGGAATAAAAAATTTATAAAAATGTTTTAAAAATATGGAATTCAATACATGTATAAACAGATATATAAAAAATATATATAATATATAAATTATTTACTAACTTAAAAAAATTTATGTAATTAACATAAATACTTTAATATATTTTCAATTTTTAATGTTTATGTAACATAAATACTATAAGTTAAAACATTTTAAAAAAATTTGTTATGCTTGAAAAAGAAATGAAATATTTATTAATTAATAACTTTAAATTGAATCATATATGTATATGTAATAAATAATGTTTCTTAAAGAAAAATTTTTTTAAAGATAATATGTTTAATATGTAAATTTAAATTTATTAACTTTTCAAACAATAAACTTAATTTCTAAATTAATTTCAAAATTAAATGATAAATTCAAATTTTAACGATAACATTTAAAATTATACATATGACACATGATATTCTAATCATTTAAAATTATACATATATTTCAAAAGCATTTTTTGTATAGCACAATATTTTATAGTCATTAAGTCATTAGCGTTATACAATACAGTTTTGAAATATCCTATATAGTTAGGATGATAGAATAATTTGTTTCCAGAAATCATTTAGTTGACGAAATTGATCATTTTGTTAATAATTTATGATTATAGATTTACATTTTTATTGTTCTTCTAGAGAGAACTATTCTACACTTGGTCTCCCATGACTCTCAAACCATCCTATCCATATGTATATATGTATAATGCAATTGCTAACAAGATATTACTTACAATTATTTACTTTTTTTTGTGTTAGTAGTATCTTGAATAATTTTTCGGTAAAATAATTTATTCCGAAAAGTATGATACACATGCTGAATTGTAAGGATTTCAACAGCATCTCGTGTAAATACTTTATTCATGTCATATCTTCATTCGTTTACTTCTTAATGATAGGAATTATTTGTCATGATTGCTATACACAATGTAAAAATGTATGTTTTCTGAAATGACTCGTGCTCGTCTTCTAAACTGACTTTTCCTGATTATTTTATAACTGTACAATATGTTATTAATCAGCATAAATAATTTAATAGTACGAATATTGTTTTACCAGACGGAATCGGTAATTACACTTTTCTCTTTATTATAATCTAATTAAAATAATACAAGTCATTATGAATACTTATTAGCGGTACACTAACATTGACATTTTTTGTTACATTTAAAACTTATTTTAGTATCAAATTTAAAAAATGCAAATAGTGCAGGTTATTCTTGTTATATATTTAAATGAAATCAATATGTAATATTTAATATGTACTTATTCAATATTCAATACTCAATATTTTGATCAACTAAAATTCGGTTTTATTTATGTATTAACAAATATTACAATTTTTAAGCAGATCCTAAAAATGAGTACGAATCAAAAGCAAGAAGTAAAAAAAGAAATTGAAGAAATTATGAATTAGCCATATAAGATTATTATTTGGACTATACATTTTGTAAACATCAAATAGAATGTCATAATATGCGTTTCAATTTTCTTCTATATTCGAAGAATTTCCTTATGTAATAAATTTCAAAAATGTAATTTTAAAGCTATCATAATTATTTAATAATAATTATAAATTATTTGTTGACAAATTAATTTTTTATCTTTTTAGATGCATCATATTTAATAATACAATTATTAATCCAAAAATCACTCGAATCTCTTTGAAAACTATAAATTTGAAAAGAATAAAAGAATAATACTCTGCAAACAAAAACTTTAAAACTGTAATTAAACTAAAACATCACCTATTACTTCTTAGAATATAAATTACATAGATGATATAGAGTAATTAGTAAAAGTTAATATATGAATAAGGATAAGGTAATGTATGTTTTAGATAATACAACTTACAGTATGAAAGGATTGTAGAAGTTATATGAGAAGTTTCTGCAAAAAGCAGTTGTTTGAATTCTATTATTTGAATTTTATTCAAGGCACCACAAGAAAATTATTGAATTCTGCTTGTTTCCTAGTATTTTGTGGCACTGTTTAATCTGCAACGCCGCTTTTTATAAACATAAGTTATATTAAATAAGTACCGCTCTCATTTTGAAATCAACATTCTTTGAAAACATGGTATGACGGTATCTTCTTTTTGGTTTAATAGCTTTTTGTTAATAAAATATAACGTTCATAAATTCTGGTAACTAAAAGAAATGCAAGGCAACCAAATCAAATATATATATATATATATACATATTATATATATGTAATATATATATATATATATATGGGTGCGCGCAAGAATGCGAAACTAGTGCGATTATACATTCATTTTTAAATACCAAAAGTGACAACATTATGATGATTATAACTTTATATACCTGATGTTCCATGGTTAAATACATACAATAATTGTAATTTACATAGCATAGTTTTACGTTTCATCACGAACGGGGTGTTTTGTTTTCATGTAAAGAAGCACTTTAGATGTTAACGAGTCGAATGCCTACGTCATACAAAAAAACTGTCACCCTTTGCAGTCGATGCAGTATATATTCGCAATTGCACAGTAGTATACAGATAGGAGATCGGGAGTAAATTTAACAGTCAATTACTCTTCTAGATCATCTTTTCAGTATTTCACACGAGAGCTACTCACAAATCTTGATTTTTTTTTTTATAGCGTTTAATCACAATTAATTCTGTTCTTCCTCTTCTTCTTCTTCTTCTTTTTCTTCTTCTTCTTCTTCTTCAGAAATATGTATGATTTTTTTCACGATTTTACACGTTATAAACGCTATAAATTCATTTGGCACGAATGCGCCTTACATTTGGAAGAACTATGCAATTTTTTCATGCTGCATTTGACTACTTTTTCTTCCCTTTTGCATATTACATTTTTATTAAATTAAAGAAATATATATATGTATATATATTATATATTATATATATATTATATATATATATTTATATTTGCATTATACACACCAAAAACTTTTTAATACAATTAAAGAATTATGTAGAATTATAAGTAGAATAACATGTTAAAAGATTTCTTTATAATCCAACTTAATATCTCAAGATATAAGAATACAGAAATTAATATGACTAATTAAAAAGAGTATAACATTTTTCTAACTAATTACTATTAGTAGATTTATGTGAAAAATATTATCACGCCATTAAACACAAAATCTTTAAAAATTGCTTAATCCTTCCATATTCTAAGTTTCATTTTATATTTTACATTAACTTGTGTCCTATTAGAATTATTTAGTTGCAACAAAAAAAAAGAAAAAAAGAAAAAAAA